TTCAGACATAGTAGAAGGGGACAGAGGGGGTCACGTAATGGTATCAAGGACCTTGACCTTGAACTCGATTTTCAAGGTTATTTCAAGGTCATAGTGATTTTTCAAAATGGGAATCACTATTTTTGAGGGTTTCTTTAACTGTATTAACCTTACTTTTAGCGCTACCCAGAAATAGGTATGCCTATTAACATTTTCCTCAAAAAAATAATTATTACTGCGCATGCGTAAGTATCGTACTAACTAATAACTTAAACCATAACCCAACGCAACCCATAATCCAAAACGAGCCCATAACGATAATCGGACCAATAACCATAACCCAACCCATAACCCATATCCAAGTAAAGACGGCGACTCCATAATGATTGCGAAAAAAACAATGAATATTAAAAATCCTTAGTACGTACATGTCTCATGAATATTTTGAATATCTCTCTCATAAAAACATACTTTGTTTAGTTGTTACATCAATTTGATTTTTCATAGTCATAAAGTACGATTCAATAATTCTTCGATTCTTCTCTTTTTTTATAGTTTGTAAAATTTCGATTAACATTGCATTATCTACAATTTGTTAAGGTGAAGAACAGCTCTAAAAATGGCTGACTATCAGCCCGATGACATTGTTGATATGATAATGGTGTTAGGCGAAAGTCATAATAATTATCGTGCTGCAGCAAGACTTTACGCTGAACGCTTTCCAGATAGACGACACCCAGATCATAGGACAATAAGTACATTAACTGAAAGAGCTCGTGGTGGACATATGGTTCGCCATCGCAGGCGCCACGAATACGACGAAAATGATGCTCGTGTTCTGACTGTTCTTGCAATCGTTCACTTTGATCCTCATATCAGCAGTCGCCGAGTTGAAAGAGAAATTGGCATACATAGAAGAACCTTTTTGAGAATTCTTAAAGTCCATAAATATCATGCTTATCATTTAACTTTAGTTCAAGAGTTACAGTTTCATCATTTTTAACAGCGAATTATGTTTTGCCAATGGTCTTTGCAGATGATAGAGAATGATCCTGTTTTTTTCAACTTTGTGCTTTTTTCTGATGAAGCTAAATTTCAAAGTGACGGAGAACTCAATAGGCATAATTGCCATTATTGGTCGGATGAGAATCCTCATTGGCACAGGACTGTGAATCATCAAAGACGTTGGAGCCTTATAGTATGGTGTGGCATCGTCAACGGATATTTCATTGGTCCTTATTTTTTTGAGGAAAATGTTAATAGGCATACCTATTTACATTTAATTAGAGATCGGTTACCTGAATTGATGGAAGATGTCGATTTAGAAACGCGACGAAGAAATGTGGTTTTAGCAGGATGGTGCACCACCATATTTTACACGAATCGTACAGGCTTTCTTGAATTAAAATTACTATGGGAGATGGATTGGACGAGGCGGTCCGGTTAATTGGCCTGCTTGTTCACCCGATCTCACATCCCCAGATTTTTTTTATGGGGCTATTTGAAAAATATTGTTTTCGAACAACAGCCCACAACAAGAGCAAACTTTGAAGATCGCATTCGTCGAGCATGCGCTGCAATTCCAAGGCAAACTCTCCTTAACACCGTACGCCATTTCCAAAGACGTTTGATTTTATGCCTTCAAGCAAATGGAGGCAACTTCGAACATTTGCTTCGAAATTAAATTAATAATTTTTAAAATAGTGAGAGGCGAGGGGACTCACTTTAATCCAGCACCCCAAAGGAAACAGTACTTACTACGTCCACGTCGTTGTTTCTGGGTAGCGCTAAAAGTAAGGTTAATACAGTTAAAGAAACCCTCGAAAATAGTGATTCCCATTTTGAAAAATCACTATGACCTTGAAATAACCTTGAAAATCGAGTTCAAGGTCAAGATCAGAGTACAGATAGGTGACCCCCTCGGCCCCCTTTAACATTTGTCTGAACCAATTTTACGTATTTGGCTTAGGTTCCGATATATTCAATTGGGAAATCAAAATTCGCAAACCTGACCTTCATTCGACCTTGCCATGACCTTAATTAACATATCATTTTGAACGTAAAATTTCCCGCTCTTTTCAAATCCGGGATCAAAAATAAGTGTTCCCATTTAAAACATCACTTTGACCTTGAAATAACCTTGAAAATCGAGTTCAAGGTCAAGGTCCTTGGTACCATTACGTGACCCCCTCTGTCCCCTTCTACTTTTGTCTGGACCATTTTTCTCTATCTGACTTAGATTACGAGAAATTCAGGTGGGGAGATTAAAATGGCCCACCCTGTATATATAAATGTATACTGGTGACATCACTTGCCTACAGAGGAAGCGTGCGCTACGACGCCGAAATTGATGTGTAACGGCCAGTGTAGCTCTTTTGCTCGACAGAATCACGTGTATTTACGGTGAAAAAGATGTCGTATCCGAAAGGTGATAAAAGTAATATGTCTCGTGCATGTCGTTCGAAAAAAAGAAAATTTCAAGAGAATCAACATACTGGCAAGAGAGAGTAGCTCCGATTTAGACTCTTCAAGTTCGAGTGCTAGTGCTAGGAAACTTGCTACTGCTGACAGTGATGAAGTGTCGAGCAGTCCTTTGCTTGCATACCGCATTATTGAATTTTTCACTGTGTTTAATGCCCTATCTGATATGTTATGTTGTCATAATTGTAAGCAAAACGTGCGGTTCGAAGAAACAACAATGCGAGGCTTGGGCTTCAAGCTCGTATTTGTTTGTCGGTGTGGCAGACGTCTTGTAAATTCAGGACCTCTTATAAATACAGGTTATGAAATAAACAGACGTATAGTACTGGTAATGCGTTTGCTTGGTATCGGAAGAGATAGTATTAATTTGTTTGTAAACTTCATGGACATCTGTAAAGGTCTTTCTCAATCATCCTATGATCGCATTATTGAATATTTCCATGCGGCTAGCTCGTCTGTTTTCGATTATTGTTGTAAGAAAGCCATAGAAGAAGAAAAATTGGAAAACGAGAAACGTGAAAAGCCCCTTTTGCATTTAAAAGTATCCGGTGATGGGAGCTGGAAAAAAAGAGGCTTTCAATCTCTATTTGGCGTAACTACATTAATTGGATATTTCAGTGGTAAAATCGTGGATTTAGCAGTTAAATGCAGTTCATGTTTTCAATGTACTCGTAAAAAAACTGAATTGAACACCGAAGATTTTTTCACCTGGTATAAAGAACACGAAGCAGTTTGCGAAAAAAATCACGAAGGATCTGCAGGCAAGATGGAGGTCGACTCTGTGTTCGAAATGTTTCAGCGATCCGAGGAGAAGTACGGAGTAAAATACATTAATTATATAGGAGACGGAGATTCAAAGACATTTAAGGCCTTACTCGATGCTTCACCATACGGAGATCTCGTCGTGACAAAAAGCGAATGTATCGGGCACGTACAAAAGAGAATGGGAAGCCGTCTTAGGAACGTAAAAAAACTGCACGGTATTGGTGGTAAGGATAAACAAAAGCAGTTTGTTAAACTTACCGATGCGCTTATCAAAAAGTTGACAACGTACTACGGCTTAGCCATCCGGCGTAATATCGTCAGTGTAGACGGCATGAAAAAGGAAATTCTCGCAACTTATTACCATTTGTGCTCGACCGACGAGAACCCCAATCACTCGTATTGCCCGGACGGAGCGGATAGCTGGTGTAAATGGAAAAAAGCAGAGGCTACTGGAGCAGATGTGAGTCTGATTAAACATCCCGCAGCTTTACACCCAGATGTATTGGGTTGGCAAATAAGTTCGTTCGGTTTTTTGACTGGTATAAAATACAATTTATTTAATATACAAAATATATACTAATCAATAATGTATTGACCATTTTTTTCTATGACTTCTTGCCATCTTTTTACCAATTTCATAATCCCACATTCATAAAATAATTTCTGAGGTTTACCGGCAAAAACTGATCCAGTTGCGTTTTAACAGCTTCATTATTAGCAAAGTTTTTCCCGTTCAGAGAATTTTGCAGCGACCGGAACAAATGATAATCAGAGGGTGCCAGGTCCGGTGAATAAGGAGGGTGAGGTAAAACATCCCAGCCAAGCCTTAACAATTTGTTCCGAGTAGTTAATGAAGTATGGGGTCTGGCATTGTCGTGGTGGAAGACGACTCCTTTTCGATTTGCCAATTCTGGACGTTTTGAACGTATTGCTTGATTCAATTTCGTTAATTGGGAGCAATATACAGTTGAATCGATCGTCCTGCCTGATGGTAAGAGCTCATAATAAATGATACCTTTATAATCCCACCACACTGAGAGCATAATTTTCTTCGGGTGCAATCCTGCCTTCGAGGTTGTTTGTGGTGGTTCACTGCTGCTTCCCCATGATCTTTTACGTACTACGTTATCGTAGACGATCCACTTTTCATCTCCCGTAACCAACCGCTTCAAAAATGGATCGTTTTCTTGGCGTTTCAGCAGCGCGTCGCAGATGGAAATGCGAGCGGTTAAGTTGGCCTCGGTCAATTCGTGCGGCACCCAAACATTGAGGCGAGAAACGTATCCCAACTGACGCAAATGGTTTTCTACACTTGTGTGGGATATATTAAGTGTCGTAGCAATCTCTCGTACTGTTTGCGATGGATTTTTGTCGACGGTATTCTTTATTACAGCTGAATCAATCTCTGCTGGACGACCAGAACGGGACGCGTCACTAACATCAAAATCTCCAGAACGGAATTTGGCAAACCATTTTTGACACACACGTTCTGTTAAAGCATCGTCCCCATACACATTACAAATCTTTTTATGAGCTTCCGCAGCTCGTTTGCCTTTTTTGAAATAAAAAAGTAAAATATGGCGAAAATGGACGTTCTTTTCTTCCATATTTGCAACCGTGCAGTACGCACAATACTCTGGTATTAACCGGCGTATGTTTACAAATAGGTTAGGTGGAACGTCGCTTTTCAGCTGCGCAAGCGCGTTGTGCGATAACGCTGTGGAAAAGAGATAGCAGAACGAGTAAACCTACTCCGATTAAAAAACAGAACGAACTTATTTGCCAACCCAATACAAAAGCATTTACTGCCGATTTATCAAGATTTGTCAAAAGACGACTTGCTGCCCCGTTGCTTAGGTGGTCACACGCAAAATGCGAACGAGAGTTTTAACAGCACGATATGGCGCTTAGCCCCAAAAAATTTACATTCTGGTGTGAAAATCGTTGAGATTTCGGCTCATATTGCTGCTGGAGTATTTAATGAAGGTCTCACAACAGTTTTGAAAATCATGAATGCCATGGAGATCATCGTTGGTCGGCAGAGCCTTCAATACACGCAGTTCAAGGATTCGGAAAGGATTAAGAGGCAAGACATTCAGACTGATCAGACCAGCAAGGAAGCCCGTAAGGCTCACAAAGAACTACAACAGATGAACAACAGCATGTACGAAGAGATTGAAGGCCTTTTGTACGCCCCTGGAATCGCTGACTGAGTCGTAAGTACCATTTTTCGGTATTCAAAACTTTAAACGCATTTTACTCAAAACAACATTTTCAAAATTGGCAATCACGATTACTCAAAAACTACTCGGCCGATTTAGCTGAAACTTTCAGGGTTTCTTCTTTATACTCTTAGCTTGTCTGTAAACCTAAATGTTTTGGAATTATATGTTGCAAAATTTAATTATTAATGCAAAAGTGTCTGAAAAAATACGGAAAATCACCGATTTTCTCGAAAAACTTCTGCCAAACGTAGAATTTTTTAATTTTTTGAGGTTTACCGACAAATTATATGTATTTTTAACATAAATTTTTTTCCTGGTCTGTTACAGATGAAAATTACGACGTCCAGAGTGGTAGCCGTTTTTTTGTAGGTCTACTTTGCGCCAGCGCGCAGCCGCCATTTTGTTTTGAAAAATAAAAAAAAATTTTTTTGAATTTTTCATTCTTATCTTAACAAATATACAAAGTTTTGTAATGATTAAATAAAACCTTCTTGGTAAAAAAAATGTTTTTTAATGCGTAATTTCAGCCCGTCTAATTGTATTTACCCCCTTAATGAATTGCTAGTGCGACAGAAGCTGAGTCCGTGTCTGAATCGCATGTGCGATGGAGTCTACGTCGACGCTCGACTTGGAGGCAAGCGTGGCTTGCGTTATGAATGTTGCCGAGGCGACGGTGACTAAGTCTCGCTGGGACTTAGTCGTGAGTGTGAATCACGTAGTGAGTCGCGTGTGCGACGGCGTATAAGTCTCGTGTCGACTTATACGTGACCGTGACTTGCGTTGATAAGGCCGCGTATGTGACTAACGCTAAGTCTCGTTGAGACTAGAAACGAGTATCCCTCGCATGTTCAGTCGCCGATGCGACGATCTATAAGTCGTGAGTAGACTTATCGGCGAACGTGGTTCGCGTGAGCGCTGCGCCCCTGGCAGCGGAGCAATAGCGAGCGTGGCTCGCGTGAGAGCTGCGTCCCTGGCAGCAGAGTTTCAGTAGAAACCTACGACTTGCGCGGAGTCGTGAGCCCGACAAGTACAGCGTTATGTCGAACTGATACACCAGAGCTGCGACATTTGAGCTATCGCAAAGGAAAGCGTCCACCGCGGTGGAGGCTCCGAGGTAATCCGAATGGTCGCGCGAAGCCTTCTCTCAATCCTCGATCGTATGGAGAAGATGGAAGATCCGTGGAGTTACCTAAAATTCGTACCAACAAATGCCAACGTGTCTTAGACACTCTACAGGAAGTAAAGATTAATGCAGAGATGCAAAAGAATATCTCGTTTGAGGCAAAGGCTCAACGTGCAAGCGCACGTGTCCAAGTGAACAGACAAGCAATTCCACGGTGTCCAAGTGAACGGTGTACAAATTAACAGCACGCATCGTTCTGTGTCCAAGTGAACAGTAGGCAACTGAAGGGTGTCTAAATGAACGGTGTCCAAGTGGGGAGCGATGCACTTGGACACGGTGCATTTGGAAACAGACAATCACAGCACCGTATGATTAGAGACATTTGTAGGGTCCCTTGGAACAACGACTTGTGATTGGACTGTGTCCAATTGCCCCGTGTCCAACTGATATACACCCGTCCAAGTGAACGGTGTCCAAATGAACTGTGTCCAAGTGAACGGTGTCCGAGTAAACAGTGATCATCCTTCTGTGTCCAAGTGAACAGTGGGCACTTGAACTGTGTCCAACTGAACGGTGTCCAAATGAACGGTGTGTAACTGAACGTCGTGCATTTTCTTTCGTGTCCAAAAACAACGGTGCCCAAAAGTTTCGTGTCCAAACGCACCGTGTCCATTTGCACCGTGTCCATTTGCAACGTATCCAATTGTACTGTGTCCAACTGAATGCCACTCGTCCTACCAACGTTACGATCAGAGCATTTGCGGACAACTGTACTAACGTTTCCTGCAGACAGTTAACAGCCGATTTAATGTCCAACGTTCTGCGATCGGAGTCCAGTAATCGTTTTGGTTTTTGACGAAAATGTCGCTGACATTTACACTCACCAGCAAGAGTAGCACACTCGCGGGAAACTACTTTCCAGCCATAGATCTGGGCGATGGCGATTACTCGGTTTGACAGCCTTTGAAACCTATAACACGATACCGAAGGTAAATGCGTCAAATAATAAATTTTAATTTGATGAGGACGACAAAGAAATTATAATTCCTGAGGGATCGTACGAATTGTATGCCATATACCGGTACCTGAAACATGCGATGTTGGAAACCATCAAACCGATCACTACCAATGATGATGATGATGATGATCTCATAGTTATTCGCGCCAATGAGAATATAATGAAGTATGAGATCAAGTGTGTTCACCGGATCAATTTTAACGAACCAAATACCATTGCATCGCTATTGGGATTTTCTTCAGATCGCATTCTACAGCCACGACAATGGCATGAATCGAACGTGACAATCAACATTACGGATGTGAATATTATTCGCATAGAATTTAATGTGACCACCGGTGCGTACAGCAACGACAAATGTGTGCACCATACACGAGTTTTCGTTTAATGTACCACCAGGATATAAAATATCGGAAACGCCAGCACAGATCATTTATCTTCCGATCTTTGCACGGAGCGTATCGAATTTGACGATACGCGTTGTGGATCAACACGGTCGATTGTTTGATTTCCGCGGAGAGGAGATAATTGTCAGGTTGCATGTGCGGCGGCGGCGGCAATAGGACACCAGAGATGCTCGTATTAAACGAAGCGAGTCAGAGTAAATACGTGAGTGACATTTTTCCCGCCTAGAGGACAATTATAAACGACCGCATTAAGAAAAATAAGAAACTTAGCGCAGCCAACATTGGATTTTTAAGATCTTTGGGATTCATCGTGCGAAAAAATACGTAAAGATGGTCGACATTTTGAACATTGCGGTGAGCCGAACTTTGACGATCGCATCGTCAAGATGGAAACTCACACGTACAATCCATACGCCAATACATCTTTTGGACACAGTGATGAGATACGAATACCGATACTACAGCAGGATTTGTACACGTTGCCATGTGAAAGTTTTCTGTACATCGAGGGCAAGTTTGTGTAAACGAGGATAGAAGGGGATAACCAAGCAGTTGAGATATTGACAAATAATTGCGCGGCCTTTCTGTTCGATGAAATCCAGTACGAACTCAATGGTGTGGAGGTTGACCGCTGCAGAAACGTTGGAGTAACGAGCACGTTCAAACACTATGTATCGCTGACTCGTGACAAAAATTTATTGTTGAAAAACGCTGGTTGGGATCTTTCGAGGAACATATTTGCGGGATACTTTAATTATTGTGTCCCGCTTAATACATTGCTAGGCTTTTGTGAGGACTACAAACGGATCGTAATCAACGTTCGTCACGAATTGATTTTCATATGTTCACGCAACGACTACAATTGCGTGGTGGGACATGCAAACTCTGACCCAAAGATTGATTTGTTCAAAATACAATGGCGATTGCTTCACGTTATGCTGAAAGATATAAACAGACTGTCTATGTTGCGAATTCTGGAAAGCGGTCGATATATGAGCATGAGTTTTCGTTCGTGGGTTTGTACGAATTTCCACTCCTACAGAGCACGACCAAGCATTCGTGGGCTGTCAAGACGGCGACTCAGCTGGAGAAGCCGCGTTACGTCATCTTTGCTCTGCAGACTGGTCGAAAGAATTCCCTCACTGGTAATGTTATCATATTCGTCTACTGTAAGCTGACTAACGTGAAACTCTATCTCAACTCGGAATTTTATCCGTACGACGATATGAATTTGAATTTCGATAAACAGAGATACGCCGTTCTGTACTATATGTATGTTCCGCAAATCATATTACGGATGTGACAACGGCAATGTGTTGTTCGATCCCACACAATTTCTTACTCATTGTCCGTGTGTGGTCATTAATTGCTCACGACAAAACGAATCCATCAAGAGCGCTACTGTCGATGTGAGAATTGAATTCGACTGCAAGGAGAATATACCGATGGATACCACAGCTTACTGCCTCATTCTGCACGATCGCATTGTGGAGTACAGTCTCCTGACCAACATTGTGCGCAAAATCACATAAAAATGAACGTGCCTACATTTGTGGACCTGCAAGGATTTACGGTTGGAATGAGATTTCA